TGGGGGGTGCTGCTCCATCCCAGGCCCCTGGGATCATGACTTGAGCTGAAGGCAGACACTTAACCAACTGAGCCACTCAGATGCCCCAAGTTTGCCTGGTTTTGAGCCAAATCTATATGGAATCATAGGGTAGGTACTTCATGCCCAGCTGCTTTTGCCTGAGATTTTTTTTTCAGATTTTATTTATTTATTCATGAGAGACACACAGAGAGAGAGAGAGGCAGAGACACAGGCAGAGGGAGAAGCAGGCTCCACTCATGGACCTGACGTGGTACTCAATCCCGGGTCTCCAGGACCAGGCCCTGGACTGAAGGCAGCGCTAAACCACTGAGCCACCCCGGCTGCCCCTTTGGTTCGAGATTATGTGTGAGAGATTCCCCTCTGTGGTTTCGTGTAGTTGACGCTCATTTATTTTTACTGCTGTCTATATTCCATTGTATGAGTAGAGTGTGTCTCTGTTCTAGTGTGATGGGCATTTGTGTGATTTCCATTTGGGATTCATACAAGTGATGGTTCAAGGAATGTTCTCACATCTGCTTCTTGATGCATGGATGCACTCGTTTGTGTTGGGTACACACACAGAAGTAGGTGAGGATCGCCTACATTCAACCCGAATAGTATCCAGTAGGCAGGTGTTTCCCCAAAGCAAAGGTGGCCCTTCAGGTCCCCCCAGCAGTGAATAAGTATTCACACCCTCACCCACATTTGACACCATTGGGATCATTTTGTTCCGTTCTTGTCATTCTAATTGGTGTATCATAGTATCTTCTTGTGGTTTTAAAAGACTACTGAGGGTGGGCACCAATTCACATGTTTATTGACTTATTCTATCAAGTGCCAGTCAAATCCCTTGTCCATTATTCTCTTGGGTGGTCTATTTTTTCTTATTAATTTGCAAAAGTTATTTTTCCATCTGAATATGAGCTTATCATCGTCGTGCGTATTGCAAATATCTCTTACTGGTCTTGCCCATTCACCATTAAATATATTTTTAAAAGATTTTATTTATTTATTCATGATAGACACAGAGACAGAGGCAGAGACACAGGCAGAGGGAGAAGCAGGCTCCCTGCAGGGAACCTGATGTGGGACTCGATCCCGGGTCTCCAGGATCAGGCCCTGGGCTGAAGGTGGCACTAAACCAGTGAGCCCTCCGGGCTGCTCCCATTAAATATTTTAATATGTTAAAGATATTAAAAGAAAATAATATCTTTTCATGAGTAGAGGCTCTTAACTTAAATAGCCTAAACTTATTAATCCTTTCCACTCTGGTTTGTGCTTTTTTTGTGTCCTGTTACTCAATACCTTTCCCTCCCATTAGGTCTTAATGATATTCTTGGCCTTGTCTTTTAGAGGCCTTACTGTTTTACCTCTTACCCTTCGATCTCCACCTATCTGGAACTTAATGTTGTTTATGATATGTGAGAGCAGCCAAGTTTCCCTTTCCCTTATAGATATCAGATGGATGCAGCACCATTTACTACCATCGCAGTCCTTTCCCTGCAGCCCTCAAATGCCACCCTTGTCATGAATTAAGGGTCCATATACATGTGGGTCTGTTTCAAGTCTCTCTATCCTGCCTCTTTGGCCTACTTATCAATCTTTGCACTGATATAACTCTATCTGAATTGCTCTAGCTTTATCATAAGTCTTGATAGCCAATAAAGCAAGTCTTCCCAACTGTTCCTTTTCAACAATATTTTAGCTATACTTTCCCTTTTATTTCTCACACATTATAGAATCAGCTTGTCTATTCCTACACACACACACACACACACACACACAGTTATTATTTTTATTGGGAGTGCATTGAATCCATAAATCAATTTTGGGAAGAACTAATTCTTTAAATACTCCATGTTTTAATCCATGAACATGGTATGACCCTCAATATATTTAGATTTAAATTCTTTTTAATTTAAAAAGAATGGATATGTTCTTATTAGAAATATAAGATTAGAGGGCAGCCCAGGTAGCTCAGCGGTTTAGCGCTGCCTTCAGCCCAGGGCCTGATCCTGGAGACCCGGGATGGAGTCCCACATCAGGCTCCCTGCATGGAGCCTGCTTCCCCCTCTGCCTGTGTCTCTGCCTCTCTCCCTCTCTCTGTGTCTCTCATGAATAAATAAATAAAATATATTTTTTTAAAAAATATAAAATTAGAGTGGAGTGCCTGGGTTGCTCAGTCAGCTAAGTGCCAGACTCTTGATTTCAGCTCAGGTCATGATCTCAGGGTCATGAGATCAAACACTGCATCGTGCTCTGTGCTGGGGGCATAGAGCCTGCTTAAGATTCTCTCTCTCTCCCTCTTTCTCTGTCCCTCCATCCCACTCCCCTATGACTCACATGCTTTCTCTCTCTCTCTCTCTCTCTCTCTCTCTCAAAAAAAATATATATATATAATATACAACTAGAAATGAAACAAGTATTCCTTTTTTTTTTTTGAAACAAGTATTCCTTTCCCTTCCTAAACACAACAGTAGCCACTGTTCTTATATATCTATGTGCACACACACATACACCAGTTTTGGATGGGATCATAGTAATTTGCCACGTGCTTTTTTGCTTTTTTATTTAACAATATTGTGTAGACATCTCTCTGTGTCAGAACAATTTATCTAGGTCACTCTTTGTAAGTACTGCCTGTAGCTAGAGATGGAGTGTGCCTGAGTAGAAATCTACAGACTGAACTCACTGAGCATCTTGGAACATGTTTTCTTGCATGTCTGTGTGTTCCTTTAGGAGATTTAATCCTATAAGCAAAGAAACCCATTTGGATACTGCTGTAATTATTCGGAGCATACATAATAAAAGTCTGAGGTAGGCTGGGGAATGAGAAGAGGGATGAATTTCCCTTTCCAAAATAACATTGCTTCTTCTTGACAGTCCTGGGCTGTCAGTCACGGAACTGCCAGAAATGGAAGATGTAGAGCACAGCAGAGGAGTGGGCGAGGTAGCCCAGCGTGAGGGCAGCAGGGATGAGGAGGAAGGGGCCTGACCTGGTGATTAAAGCAGCCCCTTAAAGCAGTGATTAAAGCACTGAGCAGAAGTGGGGCGAGAAGAGAATAGGATGAGAAGCCAAGCCATACTTGTCCTGGACAGGGTCCTATGCTGGTTGCCACACAGACTGACTCTGAGCTTTGAGATAACCCTGTGATTAGTCTGTAAGAGAAATCTAAAGTTCAAGAAGATGAAGGGACCTGTCTGGGCTCAGTGAGTCAGTGTCCACACTGGGCTTCTGACCAAAGCCTGACCACAAAGCCCCTGTGTCTCTAAGCTGAGCCTCTTAGTGAACAACGCTGGGCCCAGATGGGCCGATCTAGAAGTGCCAAGGCCTGGAACTCAAGTGGGGCAGGTGCTGGGGAGATGGGCCCCACACTGGCACCAGTTAGAGGGAGTCTGGCCAGAAGGCTAGACAGTGGCAGGTGACAAGTGGTGTCTGATGAGTCCCTGCTGTCTGGGAACCCTTCTCTAAGGAGCCAGTGGCCCACGGGCAGCAGGTTGGAGGCAGTAGCTGGGAGCCTGTCTACATCCCCGGTCAGCAGGGGGCCCAGGTAGGAGTTGGGAGCAGAGCTCCGCTTCCTGGGAACTTGTGCACCTGGCGGGACCTAGGAGCCCTCACTCCCACATGCCAGGCCTCCCTAGCCTCAGGAAAGCCACAGGCCACGAGGGCTTAGCAAACTGCCAGCCTCACTTCCCTCCTCCCACCTCCTCTCCCTCTATCAACCTTCCTGGTCTCATATTTTGAGTCCCTCTTTCATATTTATATTTAAGAAACTCCCTTTTAAAAATTTTTTCTAAATAACAGTAGGGAATTTTTGTATTACAAAACAAATGTCATTAATGTAGTCCATTCATCTCCTACACATACATGAAGGTAGACGTTAATTTTTTCCCCACGCCAAGATTATCCTGATCATCCTTTTTAGGGAGCTGCTTCTACCACTTAATTTTTTTTTTTAAAGATTGTTATTTCTTCATGAGAGAAACACAGAGAGAGGCAGAGACACAGGCAGAGGGGGAAGCAGGCTCGATGCAGGGAGCCCAACGTGGGACTCGATTCCAGGACCCTGGGATCACATCCTGAGCCGAAGGCAGATGCTCAATCACTGAGCCACCCGGGTGCCCCTGCTTCTACCACTTCTCAACATACTGTGCAGTTTCCCTGGATGGGGGCATGTGGCAGGATGGCACAGTGCTTAAGAGCAGACTCAAGGGCCAGCAGGCCTGGGTTTCAGACCCTCTCTCTGCCACTCATTAGTTTCATGACTGAGCGAGTTACACACCTCTCCAGGCCTTGGTTTCCCCGTCAGTACAATGAGGATGATGACAGGCTAGATTTGAGGCTCAGTGTGGGGAACTAAGTGAGGGAGGGCCTCGCCCAGAATACACTGGGTGTCTGGTGAGCACCAGATACTAGGACTATTGTTATTCCTAACCAAAGACAGAGCCCGTCAGCCTGGCCTGACTTTATACACAAGATCTCATAGCTGGATCCCAGCCTTGACCTCAAGTCTTTATCTGAGTCTCCTGGGCCTACCCAATGTCTCTTCCTGCCCCCTGGGATGGTCGGGGGCTGGGGCCGGGGCTCAGCCACAAGTAGCACTCAGTGGGTTCTCAGTGACATGAGTAAGGAGGACAGGGATTAGAAAAGGGGAGAAGGAGAAGGCAGAGAAATGGTTTGGAGTTAGCCAGACTCTGGAACCCAGCCTTTCGAGACTGTCACTTGTGGGCTCCTTCACCAGGTGTGTGAGCCCCAGGTCCCCTCCTTGTTGGCATCACGGGAAGAGCCACAGCCCCTGGGAGAGACCACCAGGGTGATTCCTCTCCCGTGGCCAGGAGGGGGGAGACCATGTCATAACCACCCACCTAAGGAGTTGCTAAGACTCAAGGGCACAGCTTGGAGTTCAGTCTGCTCGTTGGCCCGCTGACTTGCAAGTGTGGATGTGGGGTGGGGACCCCGGGGGGGCTGGGGACTCGCTTCTGAGCTCTGGGACCCACAGGAGTTAAACAACTACCGGCGGGCCATGCAGAAGATGGCAGAGGACATCCTGTCCCTGCGGAAACAGACCAGCATGCTGGAGGCCGAGAACCGCATGCTGAGGAGCCAGCTGACCCAAGAGGAGGGGGAAGAGGAGCAGGACAACAGCAACGCCCAGAAGCTGGATGAGGGTACACGGGCCACGGAAGGCATCCGGGGGCCGGGCTGAGCCCAGGCTCTGGATGGCGGGCCAGGGTTGGGGGAGCCTTTCCCAGCCGCGCCTGCCCCTGGACACCAGCAGGGGCCCACACCCTCTCAGGAACGGGGAGTGGAGACTCCAGTCCTCTGTCTCAAGCCCCGGGACTGAGAGACCCCTGCCCCCACCCAGCTGTGCTGAGTTGGAGATGCCTCTTCCCTGAGCCAGCTCCCTCCCCCACCAGTGTCCATGAAGCAGAAACTGGTGCTGAGTGAGCTGGACATGAAGAAATTGAGGGACAAAGTGCAATATTTGCAGAATGAGCTGATTCGAGTGAGCCGGGGCTGGGGGGCTGAGGGGAGGGGAGCTGGGGGGTATTCAGCCAAGTGTCTGGTAGCAGATGGGAGAGAGGCATGGAGGGATGGGCTCACTGCAGTGGAAGGCTCAGTGGAGGGGCCCAGGGTGACCCGAGGCACCCCTTCTTTCCCCACCCCACCCCCTTCCCCCACCATCAGAAGAATGATCGAGAGAAGGAGCTGCTCCTCCTGCACCAGGCTCAGCAGCCACAGGCCACGCTGCTGAAACGGTACCAGGACAAGCTGCAGAAGATGAAGGTGCTGGAGGAGACTGTGCGGCACCAGGAGAAGGCAGGAGTCACAGGGGCCAGCCCGCCGGGCGCCAGCCTCGGAGTGCAAGGTGGGGAGACCCCCGGCCAGCCCAGCCTCTGTGCTCTGCCCTCCAGGTGATCGAGAGGATGGAGCGGGTGCTGGAGGACAAGCTGCGGGATTGGAGGGAGCCCCTGCTAAACAGGCCTCAGGGAAAGCCTCCCATGGGTGCGTCTGCTCCCCGGCCTTTGTCCCACCCCTGGGGGCCCCGGCTACCCACAGCAGTGGCTCCAAGGGCAGAACTGGGGCAAAGGATGCGACCTCCCTACGGATGCAGGCAGGGAGGGGCTCTCAAGGGTCCCCTGGGCTCCCTTCTGCCAAGGAGCCCCTCAGGATGCGTTGGGACCATGTGTGAGCCAGGCTGGAAAGAGAGCGGGTCCTGCTCAGACCCCAGAGGAGATGCCCCCTCCTCAGAACATCTGGAGCAAGCAGTCAGGGGCTGCCCGAGAGGAGGGGCGACCTAACCCTTCCCGGTACCTCCTCGTCTCCCCAAGTTCTTCAGGGAGTCTGCTTCTACAGAACAAACAGTACTGGCCTTGATGTTAAGCAAAGCCACCTAGAACTGGCCAACTGGGTGGCTCAGACGAGCTGGGGAGAAGCGGGGGGGCCCAGGCAGGGAGCCCCCGAGCCTCCCGTGCAGCCTCACCGGGAAGCCCTGAGTGCCCAGCCCTGCGTCAGCCTTCACTGCATGGGTGTTGGCGGGGGCCGCTTCGGGAGGCCTTCGGGAATCAGCGCAAGCCGGGGCTGCCTTCCAGGAACCCCAGAGTCATCCCAGAGTGGGGCCTAGGGAGGCCGAGGGGGGCCGAGGGCTCAGAGCATGGGCAGGCCAGGGGCGGGAAGGAAGGAAAGAGAGCAGCGAAGAGCTACAATAGACCCAGGGCCAACGGGGAGCACTGGGGGCGGGTTCTAAGGAGCCTAGAATGATGCCTAAGGCCTGTGGCCCCGGTTCCGTTGGCGTCAGGGAGCCACGGAAGACTTGGGAGCAGAGGAGGAGCAGAATGGAGCACAACCGGGGCGGAGCAGGCCGGGGGCATGCGGACGGAAAGCCCATCTCAGAGCCTGTGGCCCCGTCCGCAGCCTTCCCCGTGCTCCCAGCCTCCGGCCTTCTGCTGGGGACCGCAGGAGAGCCCCTGCCTGCTGACCTGTACTCAGCCTTGCTGGCAGAGAACTCCCGGCTGCGGGCAGAGCTGGAGAAGAACCGCCACCAGCCGGCCCCCATCATCCTGCAGCAGCAGGCCCTGCCGGTAAGAGCCACCAGCACCCACTCGGCCCGGGCCGGCCCAACAGGTGGTGGGTGCTTAGCGGTCGTACCCAGCACAATCCGAGTAGAAGACCATGACCAGGCGCTGGGCTTCCGGGGTCTCCAGCGTGCCCCCAGCGCTCAGTCCTGCTCTTTTCTCCCGGGGGGAGCACACGTGGGCCTGCAGCCTCCACATTCGCCCTTGGCTAGCAGCCTGGGAGAAAGCAGGTCCCTCGTGGCCCCTGACCTTTGATCCCTATTGCCATCTGGCTGGCCTGCACTTGAACTTGGCGCCAGCCTCTCTGAGCTCTGTCCTGGAGCATTTCCTGAGATGGTACAGCCTTGGAGAGCCTTTTCCCCATCCCAGGAGGACCCCGGGGAGTTGGGAACAGGAGGAGACCTGGCAGAGAGACTGCAAGAGACAGATGGCCCAGGCCACTCCAAGGGCACAGAGACCTTGCCCGCACAGGTGGGTGTCCTGGCCCCAGAAGTGCCCGAGCCCCGCTCCATCTCCAAGGCTGCTGCCGGTGCCCCTGCTTTATGCAAACCCAAAGACAAGACATTGGAATTACAGAAGAGGGGTGGGCAGGGAGCCCAGGAGAGCTCTTCTCTTCATCCCGGGACTTGCAGGAGGTGAGTTCTGTTTGAAAGCACACTTGATGCATGGACATCCAGGTAAAGTGTGGGGACAGGGGAGCCCTTGCTTCCATAGTCTTCACTTTACAAAAAAGACACTCTCCTCCAAGATTCCTAGCTGGGCGCACTCGGGGGCTGCTTAGTGCGGTTTACGTTTAGAAAGTGACTTGCAGAAACTCCGCATAAGCAAAGTCCCTGGGGGAGGACAGGGGTGACAAAAGTACCTGCCATCTCAAGTCAGCTTCGGGAGGAGGGTTCGGCGCTGGGCCTGAAGCTCTGCGCTGGGGAGCTGGGAACTCAGACCTGGCTGGCGTCTCCCTCAGTGGCTCACAGCCCCCCGAGCTCCCACGGCTGTGGTCCCCGTGGGAGCCGAGTGGGTGAGTCTCCGTTTCGCCCACAGGATCTCCTTGCCAGCACTTCGGACAAGTTCAGCCTTCTGGCCAAGCTAGAACGAGCTCAGAGCCGGATCCTGTCCCTGGAGAGCCAGGTAGGTGAGCCCGGCAGGGGCCAGTCAGGCTGGGCACACTTGCCACTCAGCCCTTGACCTTTAGGCTTCCAAGTACGGCCAGGGTTGTGACTCCATGTGTGACCAGGGTCAGGGCTCAGCGTATTGTTGGAACTCAGAGGTCAGTCCGTGTCTGGATCAGGCTGCCCCTCCCCACCCACCCCTGCCACACCTGATGTCTCTGTAAGGCAGCAGGCCCCCGGTGGCCAGGGCTTTGCTTTCTACCTGGAGAGGAGGCTCAGGCTCTGGTTGTCCTGGCTCGAGGGATGGGCCTTGCTGCCCAGCGGTTCCCCATTTGTCCCTCTCCGTGTTTGCAGTTAGAGGACTCGGCTCGACGCTGGGGACGAGAGAAGCAGGACTTGGCCACACGGCTGCAGGAGCAGGAGTACGGCTTGGGGCACCCCTCAAACTCCATCATCACTGACCTGCCCGTGAGTGATCCCTCTGGACAAGCTCCGTGGGGTGCATGCAGTGGGGCTGGCAGCTGCCACCCCTGACCTTGAGTCACTACTAGGCCTCAAGAAGCACTGTCAGGGGAACCTGCAGTCAGAACACCTGCACCCAGTTTCTGCCCTGTTACCGTCAGAAGCCCTGGCCTGGTCTGCACGCCCCACTTGCCTGAGGGGAAGAGAAAGCCCCCCTGACCCTACCCCCTTCCCACGGGTGGTGGTGAGAATCAAGGGGACATGGCCATGGATGAAGGGTTTGTCCACACAGGCATTTCTGGAATGCTCTGGCCCTGGCTGTACTTTAGCACTGGATTTGCTCATGAGCAGAGTAGCTGTAGCCCCCACCCAACCCCAGAGCCCGAGTGCTCTCCCGTGAGCACAGCGACTTGGCACCTGCAATGCTGCACACCTGCCGGGGATGGGAACACATTGCCAGAGAGGAATGCTGCTGGCCCCCTACACACAAATAGACCTCTTCACGACCCCCTCAAGCTCAGCCCCAAATCCCCAAGCCTCCCAGAGCAACACCCCTGCTAGCTCCTGCTCCTGATCATCAGGGTTCTGCTCATTCCCAGACTTCCAGGAAGGGCTGAAGAGGATGGGGGATGAGGGTGGGGACCAACAGGGAAAGCAGGGCTAGCTACCTTTGCAAACTCGCTTGCTAAGACCTAGGGGCTCATAGAGAATTGGGTGGGCCTGCCATGGTTAGACAGGTTTGGAACCCTTTGTGAAGGCATGGCCCACTGGTTTGGATCCTCTGAGGCCTGGCCTGCCAGGCAAGATGCTCTCTGATGGGTACCTCTCCCCCGGGGGAGAGGGGCAGAAGTGCACTCACTTTGCTTTGCTTTACATACCACAGAACTCCCTGGCCCACACCAAGGACCACAGACGACCCTTGAAGCTGGACCCCTTGATGCCCAGCTCAGACACTAAGCTCAACAAGCCTTCAAATTCCCAGAACACCTGAGTCTTGGCTGATCTGAGTAGCTGGAGCAGGCCTCCCTCCCTGTGCGCTGGAGAGTCTGGTTCCACCCCCCAAATGACTGTATTAAATGGTGTAGGTCAGTGAGCCTTCGCCTCTTTCCTGGAGTAGGGCAGCCTAGGGGGCCCGGTTTCCTCCGTCCAGGTCCCACTCTGAGCCCGGACCCTCTGCTACGGCCCTATAGCCGCCTGCCTATCCCAGAAGCTACTATCTTGGGAGAGCCAAAGGCCATAGAGGACTGAGGAGGGTGAGAAGAGAAGAGGCCTCCCAAAGTAGGAGCTCTTCTAGACCTCCAGAGGAAATGAGACCACCAGAGGCCAGCTCCACTGGGAAATGTGAGGGAGGCTGCAACTTTCCACTTGCCCCCAAACATCTCATAGCTGAAATCCCTTCTTTCAAGTTTCATTTATCTGTTTCCTGGGAAGGGGAAGACTTAAAGCCTGCCTGTGGCAATCAATTACAGGTTAGTGTGAAATACCCTCATTAACCTGGGCTAGGCTGAGCTGGCAATGTTGAATCCAAATACAGCCAGAGCAGGAAAGCACATGGAGCCAGGGGAAGGAGCCCTCCCCTGAGAGTCAGGAGCCCTGGATTCTAGCTACAAGCATGCCGTGTGGCCTTGAGTGACTCAAGCAACCTCTCTGGGCTTCCATTTCCCCATCTATCCCGTGCAGAGCTTGCCTTCTTTGATGGTAAGGGCCTTTTCAGCCCTAACATTTCTGCATCATAGACAACTAGGGCCCAGAGAAGAGAGAGGAAGCAAGAAGGAGAGAGAAAGCCAATGAGAAAGAGGATCGCATGGCAGGGAAAACAGAAAGGCTCCAAGAGTGGACTCCGAGACCGCAGATGATGGTAGAAGAGACCCAGGCAGCAGGGCTGCTCTACTGAGTGGGATTAGCGCCCCTGCCTGCCTGCAGGACTTAGACGTGGCTAACAGAGGGCCAGGAGGGTTCAAGCACCTGATCAGGCCAGGAGTGGTGCGGCTCGGGAGGGGTTAAGAGGACTGATGTTAGGGCCAGTGTCAGACAGTCCAAAAAATACACCGAAGACTCAGCCACAGTCTTCTTGCCTACTGCCCACAGTGTGGACAAGTGGGTACATCTCCCTAGAACAGGAAGCCGGGGCCTGGGGAAGCCCCGAAAAGGTCAGGTGGGGTGAGGAAAGCATGCTTCTCCTCCAGGTCAGCCACCTCACACCAGCCCCTCACTCACAGGCTGTGGCCCTGGCTACACCCCAAAACTCTAGCTGGACCTTGGCAGAAAGTCCTCATGAGCCCGCGGGGAGCTCCTGCCCAAGGTTCAGCCGATCAGAGCCCAGCAAGAGCCTCAGTCCTGCTAGGTGGCCCTGCCCCGAAGCCAGCATGAGTCCACCCCTCTCAGGCCACCCTGTTCCCTTCTCAGAAGCCAGATCCTTTGTACCTCTGCCTACTGCTCTAGTAGCTCCCGGCACGGTGGCAGTAGCCCACCACCTGCCGCGCCTCGCCCCCACCCCAGGCAGCAGGGAGGTTGATCCTGCGGGCTCCCAGCTGCTGTAGGTGGGAGGGGGTCCCAACAGAAAGGGCCCTGAGGCTCCGCCGTTCCTGCTCAGATCCCACTGTTGACCTGTCAGGGAGCATCTCCACAGGAGGGCGGATACCTTGAGGTCCAATAGAAATGAAAACACTTCCCGTAGTTCAGCCATTTATTGCCTTCCTGGGGGGGGCAGGGAAAAGGTGGCGCGAAAGGGGGCTGTCCCCGCTGAGCCGCAGCCGCTGCCCCCTGAACACCAGCTCTGTCTCCTGAGAGCTGGTCCAAAGGGAGCAGGGGAGGGGGACCGAGGACTGGGGAGCAGACACCCCCCAGCTCCACCCCCTCGGGACTTCCTCCGGCAGCCCTGCTGGCCTGATGGGGGAAGAGACAGTATCCACACTCTCATCACACCTGGGGTGGGTCCTGGTTAAAGGGCCTGAAGGTGAGGAAGATGGGCTTGTCGGGCATCAGGATGAGGTTGAACGTGGTGCCCACATCCCTGAGATGCTGCATTTCAACTCTGAAGTTCTCCAGAATCTGAGAAAGAGGGGAGAGATGGGGAGGGGCTGTCCCCCCAGGGCCAGGCCCATTCAACTGTGGGTGTCGCCCGTGCGGGGTGACTCGGGGAGCTCTAAGGGGTCATCTGCCTGCTCCTGTTTACCAGGTGCAGTGCCTGAAAACACACCACTAGTGCTTTGTTTCCTTGGTCCACCTTAGCTCCTATGAAACCCTAGCCCACCCCGCACCCATCTTGTCACCACTTCCAGGAGGCAGATGGCCAGAGAACACCCGTGGGCAGTAAGCAGATTAGCCCAAAATTGTGGGGGGAGGTGGAGGGCAGGTCACAGGAGGCAGGTGTCCCCAACCTGCACTCCCTGGGCTCCAGGCAGAAACGGGAACAGGAGGCTCAGGGCCTCCATGAGGGCCACGGCCAGGCCGGGTGCCCGACGTCTGGGGCAGGACTCACATGGATGAGGAAGAGGGTCATCTCGAGCTCAGCGATGCGCCGGCCCACGCACTGCCGCACACCCCAGCCAAAGCCCAGGTTCCGGAAGTGAATGAGCTCCTTGTCCTTCCCCAGCCAGCGGGTTGGGTCAAACTTGCTCGGGTTGAGGAAGAAGGTGGGGTCCTGGCCCATGGCATAGGTGGACACCTGCACCAACGTCTGAGCACAGGGTGGCGGAGGCCTGAGTACAGGTGTCACCTTCTCGCAGCTGGGGCGTACATACCCCGGCTCCCCACTCCCACCCCTAGCCAGGCTGTCCTGCTCCCCTGCTGTGTGACCTTGACAAAGGCCCCAGGCGTCCCTGAGCCTTGCCCAGCAAGTGGGCAGTACCAAAGACTCAAGGCCAGGATGCCCCTGGGGACTGTCCCAGAGGGCTGCCCTCCTAACGCAGGGCTCCGGCACCACTGCAGACACCGTCCCCCCTTATGCCCAGTCCCCAGCCCTTCATCCACACGTGCACTGCTGCCACCAGGGACTAGGAGGGGACGGAACCCCACCGGCCCATCTGCCCCCACCTGACCTCCCCCATCCGACTGGCAGAGCCAGAAGTGCCCCGGCTGCACCTACCTTGGCAGGAATCATGTAATTTCGAAGAACCAAGTCATTTTCAAGGTATCTCTGCAGGGTCACGGAGATGGGGTGGAGTCTGCCAAAGGAAGGCATTAGGGAGCTGATGGCCTGAGGCCGGCACGGGGTCCCAGCTACTGCACCCACCCCAGAACCTGGAGACAGGACTGTCCCCTTAGTTCCCCCCTCCCTGCGCCCAGCGGTCTCCACAGACGTCTTGCCTCTGCCCTGCCCGGGGCCTGGGGGGTGAGGCGGGCAGGCGTGGCCGGCGGGCTTGCCTCAGTGTCTCCTTGATGCTGGCTTTGAGGAGCGGGACCAGCTGCAACATCGTGCTCACGTTTCCCTGGGCCTGGCGCCGCGCAGCCAGGACCTCCTCCCGCAGCACCTCCTGCACCTCCAGGCTGCGTGCCATCTCGTAGAGGTGCCACTGCAGTGTCATGGATGTCTGGCAGGAGTGTGGGGGTGCAGAAGGCAAGGGGGACCTGTCACTCCTGAGACATCCAAACCCACCCTAAATTCTCATTTCCAAGAATCTCTGCCCATCTTCATCCCTGTATCCAGAGACCACCATCCACAAAAGCAAAATACACTTCTAAAGGCAAAGGTCCCAGAAGCCTTCCCCACCCACCGCAGGACAGTCTAGGGCAGCACTTGTCCCGGTCCTCGTCCTTGATGTCACCAGAGCCCACCTGTTTCCTCAACCAGTAGAGTCACTCAGTCACCCTTCTTCCAGAGGACTCCCGGAGAGCTTTGGGACCAGATCCTACTGTGACGATTGTACTCCCAAATGACTGCCATTCTACCCCTCGCATAATAGACCTTCCCCCAACCTCAGCATCTGCCTGGGGGAGCATAAAATAAAGTGAGACCCAAAGATCCTAAAACCAGAACAACCAGACCTGTTTTCCCTCAGCGTCGCAATTAGCCTGTGGTAGATCCTAAGATGAACCAACTCATCTCTGTATTAGCCGGAGGTGGTGACCATTAGCCCTACATGGAGGTAGGAGTGACCCTCATCAAATCCCATAGCCCCAGATTCTTTGGTGGTGGGACCCCAAACTGGAGCCAGCCTCCCTCCTAGGGCTGGGACATGTTATCTTACCAAGGATTATATTTCTGTCCAAGAGGTTTGGACACTCTCCTACCTCCCCGCAGGAGCACTCAGGAAAAAAATGTCATGTGGTCACTTTTCTGCTTAAAACCCTTATGTGGCCCCAGACGCAGCTTGTGAAGCCCAGAGATCTTCCTCATGCCGTTTCCTCTTTCTAGAACTCCCCTCCCCGAACCCAGGAAGCAAAGATGTTCTCTTTCTTTAAGGCTCGGAGAAAACATGTGTATTTGTCTTATTACCCCCAAGGCCCGACACAGAGTGGGAGGGTCAGGAGATATTTGTTTTATCAAATAAGTCAAATAAGTTGCGCTGTGACCTCGACTAAGTTACTTACCCTCTCTGTGCCCCAGGTGCCTCAACTAAAAATGAGGGATCATAGTAACATACCTCCCAGCATCGTTTGTGGGTACTAAATGAGCTAATACATATGAGAAGCTCAGGCCCCTGCCTGCCATATAGGACAGGGTTAATACATTAATAATAAGGACAGCTGCTTTGGTGCAGGAAAGCGATTTTGGAGATGCCTTCTACATAACTGACAATGTTTAAAATATGCTCAGAGGCGCATCTGCAGCCTGTCCCATAGACCAACACCCCTCTGTTAGAGCACAATAGAAAGACGGTACCTGGGAAACAAAGTCATTAACATGGGAGCTTGGGCACCTGCTCCTCCCTCCTCCTGGCAACAGCCCTCAAGACACAGGTTGAACGATAGGTCCCGTATGGCGCACTCTCCCTATCCTAGGCCACGTTTTCTCTCCCTGCTTCTCAGCGCCGCCAGTCCCCAGCACATGCCTGGTCGTCGCCCTACAACACAGTGTGGTGGTCCTCTGTGCACGTGCTCCTCCTCA